CACCCACCCTAGCCCAAGATCAGTTTTTATTAATCTTCTGTATTAGTGTCAACAATCAGCTACAGATACATATTACTTTGAGAATTAAATACATAACTGTTTAATTCAAACAAGCAGAAGGGCAAGAGGAAAAAGCATTATGTGGATGGCACATTTGGTTGTAGATTACCAAAACATTCAGCCTTTACAATTCAATGATTCGTTCTCTAGTAAATCAACGTAAAAAAAGAAAATTCCTCTCCGTTGCAATTACAGACCAAAATACACTAGTTTTCTTTTACTACAATCTTACCATAGTAGATTAAGAAGTACTATTACAAAATGCTTTAATTAGTGTACTCTTTACAAAGAGTTAAAGAGGCAATGTAATAGCAGAGTACAGTGTAAAGAGTGCTTCTAGGAACTAGGAATTTTTGTAATATACTACTTGGTAAGCAAAATAGCTACAGAACTCACTGCCACAACTGTTATGTCTACTGTATCTCATTTAATTAGCTGCAGCTTCAGTGCATTCAAACTGTGCCCGATGTCTTTCAATGAACAGTTCCGTCAGCATGAGCAATTTGAACAGATTAACACTGTCTTGAATTGAAAACACCCCTCGTTTATCAGAACTAACTATGTAAACGTACACAGAAGAGGGGAGTTTAGAACTCAGGCCTGAAAGTGAGTGCTTACAACGTCCATTTAAGTGAAATTTTCAACCTGAGGGAAGGTCATCTGAGATTAACAGAACCAAAAAGACAAAATAGGCAAACAAAACAAAACCAAAAAAGGACAACAACAACCAGAGCAAACACTTGTGAAAGAGCCCATTCTTTAAGCCTGCTCCAGGGAGTAGATTGCTCTGCTCTATAAAAGTGAATTAGGACCTAAGGCTTGAAAGTTATAAGAGGCCTAGGCGGCATAGTCTATCTTCAACGTCACTGAAGTGCTTTTACAAGATACAACTTTTCCCCGTGTTCACTGGTGAAGATGGGAGCTTTTTTGTAGTGTTCCACCAATTCATCCATTGTTTGAAATCGACGCTGGCCAATACAATAGACATTGTCCACGAGCTGCACCTTGAAATGTTTGTTCTTCCCTGATGCCTTTAGAGATACTGAGAAGTCACTGGGCTGTTGAAAGAGAGAAAAACAAAATTATTATTATAAAAGAGTCAAAGAGAAAACACAAATGTTGTGAAATAAAGTAACTACCATAAACTCTATTCTTTGTTCTCTAGTATAGTGTGTTAGCTATTTAAGACATCTAAATGTCTATTATTTAATAAATGTATCCCATTATTAATATATGCAGTTAATAGAAAACTCTCCAGTTACACGGTCTGAAGTAGCCAGACATGACTAAATTGCAAATAGTGCAAAAATTACTGACTCAAAGTAGCATCACAACAATGACAAGCACAGAAAAAGATCTGTGTCATGTATGGTTTCTTCTATTGATACATCCTGGATAAAATCAATATTGTTAGGGTGAAGAGAGGCACAGAGGTGGAAATTCCCATGACTTTTTTAAAAACCATGACCACTAGAGGGCATTTCCTGCATTGCATTACAGGAAAAAAATCGTTTCCATCCTTAAACTTTGTTTAAAAGGATGTGAGGAACAGTTCTTGTTTAGACATAGGAAGCATATTTGCAATACAAACCACCCAAATACAGTACTAAACACATAAGGTGAAATTCAACATTTTTTTTACTGAAAGATTATTTGAAAGACAAAAAAGAATTATTCCATTTACTATTGTTTATACTGAGCAACTTTTCAGTGTTTTTCATAACATTAATGCTATGTAATAAAATAGTCAACGTGAACATAAATAAATGGCAGCAAATATTTTGCACATGTACAACATTTCTTTCTACTCAAACATGAGTGGGCCATTCCTTCATCCTCTGCCATACTATTTTAAAAAGCAATTGAAAACGCTCCTTTTTTAATAAAGAATGAACTTCCAATTTGTAAATTTTATTTAATTTAATGTTCATTTATACTAATTCTCAATTTAAATTATTCCCAGCGGTTTTGGATCCAATACTTGAACTTGGGCCTACTATAGTATAACTCTTTAATAATGATAGAGACAACATTTATATAAAAGTTAAACAGTGAATGTCCATCTGATTATACCTCTAAAATCTAGTCTATGCTACACAGTGAGTTTGACGCAAGGCAGTTTAGTTCAATCAAACTATGGAAGAGTCTACACTTAAATTTTGCTCCCACTGACATAACTGATTTAATAACTTCATCTCCACAAAGGGTGTAGAGTCAAGGTCAAAGCAATTAGGTCAAAGCAGTGTGTGTAGATGCTGCATTGCTTTTGTTGACTGTTAATTGCTTTTAGTACCACAATGCCCCCATAGTGACAGTGCAATCAATAAAACCACTCTTGTTGAGGTCATACACTGGTGGGACAAGGTGTAAAGAATAGACAAGCACAAGTGATGTAAATACTGTGGTTGCTATTTGCCGATGTAAGCTAGGTCGACTTAATTTTGTGGTGTAGACATGACCTAAGTTTACAAACAACGTCTCTGGTACAGAACATAGATCACAGAATGCATACACAGTGAAGTATGTTTGATTTACCATAAGAGCTGTGTAGTTAGTTACAAAATCAGAACAGATTCACAAAATGTGGCAATAACCCCTAAATTCCGCAACATTATCTTATTCTATTCCTCCACTTCCACACAAAAACATAGAATTATGGCTATTTTAATGGAAAACTCTTATTGGCATAACATTCTTGAAGGACTATTTTTGACAGTGACTGACTTTATGGATGAGTTTTCACTGTGATCTCCAGGCAGCCTAATTCCACTCCCTGGGATGCTGTCCAAGTAGCCAGGTTTAGGCCATCTCTCTGTCAGCATGTATCATAGAAATTTGGAGGATAGGGGTACAGAGCTTGTAAATGGTTTTACATCTCATCTCCTTGAATTCAAGGGCTTCAACTATTGCACTATTCCACAGCCAGCCGAACTTGCCAGTTGAGCTGTGCAGAGAATAGTAATTCTGTTTCAATGAGAATTTTGATTTTACAATTTAGTTTTGTTCCAATTAGGATTGAAAACCAACATTTTTAAATGCTCTATAAAAGAGTCCTCCAATGTGGTTTGCCAAGGAGCTGGACAGGCAAGTTGGCAGGGTTCTGGTGGATCATTGCCTGGGTTTAACTGGGACGTTGCTGAAACTGAATCATCTCACTGAAATGTTTAGCTTTTAATGAATCCACAAATTCTGATGAACAATGTTTCATTGGAATTTTTCTTACTAGCTCTACTTGCCAGCATAAAATCTTATATTTTATTCCCTCCCCTTTCTTCCTCCTCCCTCTCCACTCCCACAACCTGGCTGTCAATTGTATTTTAGCTTTGGCTCTAAACCCATCCTGCCTGAGCTCAAAGGAACAGTGCACAGAGTTTTTACTGTAATTGGATTAATTCCCCCTAGTGAGGAAAACTGGAAAGCAAGAGACAGCTGCAGGCCAGTCCTTACCAAGAAGGGAAATGAACACAAAGTATCAGGAACTTGCCTGCAAAACTTGCACAATCCATGGGCCCTGGCTGAGATGAAAAGGGCAATTCAGTTTTCAATGGTATTGTTACAAATTCTATATGCTGCATTGGTCATATTATACTACAAGATCATCTTCACCATCGTATGCAATAGAACCATTCATGAAAAAAGGTAAACTTGAGACTCTGGAGCACAAAATTCTGCGACTGCTGAATCATAGAAATGTCACAGGGCACTGACAATGAATAGCATACCACTAACTTTGTTTTAAATACGAAAACTAACAACATAAGCCTCCAGGAAATAATCTAATAAGGATAGATGCAAGTCAGTAATAGAATGCTAATTTGTGTTAGTCTGAGAAACAAGACCAAACTTTAATATTAAAGTGCTAATTCTGTTCTTCTGTAGATCACACAAACACACACACACACACACACACACACACACACACAACAACCCCCCCCACAAAACAAAAAAACTCAACAACCCACATTTAAAAATACTAATTGACACAGTTACAATCGGAAATACCAAAATATGGAACTGAAAATGTTACATCATGTCTGAAGCAAAACCAACTAAACTAATCCTTTTACGCCATGGGTGGAGAATCAGGCCTAGTGGCTAGATGCGACCCCAGGCTTGCCTGGATCTGGCCCCCGAGGCTCAGGGCTCACTTCAAGCATTGGGGAGCCCATGCAGGAGCGCCAGCCTCCCACCCTACCCCAGGGCTGGCCAGGCTCTGGTGTATGAAGAGAATGTGGGGAGTGTCTTTCTCCTTCTCAGTCAGGGGCCATGTCAGTGAGGGTTGTTGTTGCTGGTTTTGGGTGTTTTTTGCTTCTCACTTATGTGCAGCCCCTGACTGATATTTCTGTGGATCAGTGGCCCCCGAGCCAAAAAAGGTTTCCCACCCCTGTTTTATGTTCTGTGGAGATTTAATGCCCTTTTGTTTAAGGCAATGTTATTATCAGAGCCTCAAAGCTATGATCTCAAGTAAATATATGCGAGTACTTTACTGGAGTGGGTAAGTATTGTTATCTTTATAAAGATGAAAAAGTTGGAGAACAGAGAAGTTGTGACAGTGAGTCAATAGGAGATCAGAAAAAAACCCCATACCCTGTCATTTTCAGTCCTGTGACCAAGCCACTGGCCCACCCTCACTAGCATGCCAAGTAGTCACACAAACACCAGTGCATTATTGCACTATTGCCACACTGCTCTGCTATTTTTGACACTTGCCCACCCTTCCCCAAATGCTGCCCTGCTCACCCCCAGTACACCCCTTTCCCCAAGCGACATAGGCTAAGAGATTACTGGGGAGTCCGGTGCTGGCAGCAGGGTTGTGCCTCCCCACTCACTGCAGAGGCAGGAAGCAGAGTGACCCAGACGGGAAGTGGAGTGGGCTGGCTGGGCGATAGAGCAGTAGAACGGGCTATGGCTGGGCTGCTCCGCATTGCACAGCTGGTGGTGAGGGTGGGGGTAAGTCTGGCCTCTGCTGCCAGCACCAAGCCCACCCAGTAATCCTCAAGTTGCCCTAGGCCTTGCGAGACCCTCCAAATCCTGGGGTGGATGCGCCTTGAACTTTTCTGTGGATGAGACAGCTCTGCATATAACAGAAGAATTTAGAATTATATATATTTCACCACAACATGTTGAAAGTTACATCTTTTTGATGAACTCAGTCTTAAAACTATGGAACAGCCCGTATAACTTTACTGTGAGAGCCATCAGATGGTACAGACACAACAGCTCAAACGCCAGTTGCAAAAGATCTGAAACTTTTTATTGCCCTCAAATTAATGAGTAACAAGAATACAAGAAGAATCAGTGAAAATAACTGGACTTGTATTTATTTTGATTCCTCCTCACGGCAAATATTCCAGTAAAAGGTTTAAATAATGTTTTTAAAAAAAATGTGTGTAAACTATTGCTCTTTAAACTTAACATTACCATCCTAAAGTTTGTTGGTTGAATATAGCCTGAATTGGTTCCCTGATGTCCTTCTTGGATATGTTCCAAGCCTGTTTGTTGATTTTAAATCTATTTTTTAGGCCATTTTCTTTTAGCTTCTGGCAGATTTCCTCCCTTTTCCCACTTGAATTAACTACTACCTTTAGATAGCTTGCATGCACACTTTTCTTGCTTAAAAGCCTCAGATGTTACACACACTCCTTAAAGACACACTAAAAGCAAATCTGAGTCTCTAGATAATCTGTAAGGTTGTCTGGTGATTCTGCAGTAGGATTATACAGCAGAGCATCATGACAGGGAGCCTATGAGTATTTCTGTCATTCTGTATCCCCCTGGATTTCCTTATCACCCCCATAACGTCCCTCCCTACAGTCAACAGTACTCACTTTAAAAAGCATATACAGTAAATGATGAAAATGCTTGAACCCAAAAAAGCTCAGTAAGTTTAAAAAGTATGAACAAATACTAGCTTCCTCACATAGATATTGTATTTTTTATGACAATGTTGGAACATTTGTTTCAGCAATGTTGAATTGTTTCAGAATTTCAAATTATGGTTTTTAAGCAAGGTCTGAATAAGCCCTCCCCTGACAGCTAGTGATGAGCAAGGGGGCAA